TCCTTTATTCAGAAAGCAGCCATCTCCATGAAAGGACTGCTTATCATGATCGCCCTGAGGAGTCATCACTGAAGCCCTACCCCTGCTTTCAAATTCTTCAAGAGTAATTTCATCAGATTTATCTTATCCTTAAGGATCTCCAATTAGATTTTAAAAAAATGGAGGGAGGGAGGAAAAGAAAAGAAGGCCTCTTCTTCATTAAACTTCCCAGAGGTATACAGCAGTCCTTGGAGATGGTAGACCTTTTCTTAGATCTCTAGGGCTTTGGATAAGCTTTTTCCTTCTCCCCACTGAAATAAAGCCTCAAGCAAAGGGGGCAGCTGGCAACCCCATTAGAGGGAAAAAAAATCAGTATAAGATAGTAGATATGGCAAGTTATTATGGTAGAATCTAGACAGTGGATATAGAGGAATTTGTGCAGTTTTAACTTTGCTGAAATTTTTTCACAATAAAGTGTTAGGGAGAGCAGTCATTGTATTTGGGGGGCATTTCTGGAATTGATTTCCTGTCATGCGCTATTTCTTGGGAGAGCAGTAAGAATTTTGACCCTTTAGTGTTGGCATCCTACGAGCTGGGTGGGTATAACTTCGACAAGAAATCTCGATATATGTGAATAGAGACTATTATTTAACCGAAGGGCACAGGAGGAATGAACCTAAGAAAATCTTTTTCAATTTTCAGCAGTATGGTAGAACTCCTTCTCGCTCCCAATTCTCAAGGTCTCCCAATCCTGCTTCCTCCATTTCCGGTAGTGCCCCTAAAGGATGAGATACTGTAGCTCCCAGATCAGGCAGCAGCTGTTTGGCTCTGCACGCACCCGATGTGACGTTAAGGAAGGGGGCGGTTGCCAGGATAGCTAGGGGAACCTAGGGACCGGGAGAGCTCTCCTGGAAGGCGACAGCTCCCCCGCCCCGCAGAAGACGCTTCCCCTTGCCCTTTATGATGTGTGTTTACATGGGCGGAGGGATCCCTCACCAGCTGACAGCCACACCGCGACCGGCTCTTCTTTTTTTAAAGAGCCTAGCCACAGGCCGTGATTGGCCGCGGCCCGGGCTGCATCAGCCTCCGGGGGCGGAGCCCGGGCCGCATTGTCTCTTCTGGGGCCGGCTGGACGCCCCAGAGGCCGGACCTGGGCAACCCCGGCCGGGAGGTGCTGGGGCTACGGCTCCCCGAGGGCCGGGAGCAAGGCCTGGGCGGGGCCAGATCCAGGTTCCCGGGGGAAAGCGGGGCTGCAGCCCGGGCGGCCCGAGCGGAACCAAACCCCGTTCCGAGTGCCACGTCTCCAGGAACCCCCTCCTTACTCTTGGACAACACTCCACCCCCRCCCGGGCCTCCGTCCCCCAAACTACCCCATTTGTGCGGCTTCAGATCGTAGCGATACATTGCTAGGATCGTCATCTGCTTCCGCTCCTCTCAGCCCCCAGACCTCACGCCCCCAACCTGCTGGGTCCCACTCCCGGCCTGCTCCCCCGGATCTGCCTTCGCCTCGAGACTCGCCCGCCCGCTGCTGCGTCCCGGAGCTTCTTCCGGTCGCCGCGATGGGAAGACCACGCTCCTGGGTTCCAAACGGAGAGAGCGACCTTCCTCTACCTCCCCAGCCCTCCGCTCACTGCCGGGGACTCGGCCAACGAATGRTGGGGGGCAGGCCCGGCTCCCCAGCGACCAGGAAGGGGGCGGCGGCCAGCACAGCACGTAGCGCACGTGTAGAGCCCGCTCCCCACCTCCTCCGCCGCCGCGGCCGCCAGGGACGACTTCCCGGGGCTCCGGCTGTCGCGCGCGCCTCCCTTCCGCCCAGACTTCGGGTCTGCGCCTCCGAACACCCTTCCCTCCGCAGCCCTGCTGGTCCTTCCCTGGTTTCCCGAGGGTCCCGTGCACAGCTAGCGCATCTCAGCTGCTCATCTCGGATGCGTGCCATCCTCTCAGCTCACCAAGCTCTGGAATGTTTGGTGTCAGATGCCCTCAGGACAAACCACAAACCTATGGGATTTGTCTCCTTGTTTTATTTATTTTGTTGATTCCCACAATACTGGGTCCTACCCTTTATCGCTGCACATGTGACTCGCTATGTCTTTTCTTCCACCAGTGTCTTTTCTTCCACCAGTGTCTTTTCTTCCACATACGTGCCTCTTCCCTCAGATAGTAAGCCGCTAGAGGGAAGGACTGAAGTCCCTCTCTGTGCCTGGAACCAGACACGTGATAGACGCTTCACCAATATTGAAAGGGAGGGGAAATGGGCTTGAGTTTCTGTGACTCCAGTAGGCTGAGGATAGAGTTTTGGGCAACTRTGGGAAAGAATCTGCTTGCCCACACGGAGCTGGAAAGAAGCTCACAGCAGATTGGAGGTGGGGCATTGGGGGCGCCCACATGGTGGGTGAACACGAGAAAATCCCGTCTTCTCTCAGTCTCCCCCGCCCAGTCCCCTGCCCTACTTAATTCCCTGGAACCCTCAACCTTTCCCTTTGGCTGCACTGGTCTCTTCTGTGGGACTTCAGTGCTCCCTGTTCTACCTCAACTCCAGCTGCAGTTCACACCAGGGTAAAGGTTTCATTTCTGCCCTTAGGAAGCTGAGTATAGGTCTTAAGGAGGCTCCTGGTAACTAAATACCTTTTCCTCCTTCCCATCTCCTCTCCCTCTCCAGTCCTGGCTCTTCCTTTCTCTTTATTCTGTTGCTGGGGATCATACCCAGGGCCTTCTGCATGGTAGGAAAAGGGCTATACCAAGAGTTACACCCACCAGCACCTTCTCCAGTCCTGGTATCTCTTCCCTGCTGACTCAGCCCAACTGAGATCCAAGATGACTGCACCTTCCTCCTAAATTTTGGCTTACTTGGGTGTGGAACCTAAAGGACTAGACCCTGGTATGGGTCAGGCACTGGCAAATGGGATGTTCCCACGGTGCCAGCTACCTTGGCTACCCTGCCTATAGGAGGGGCAGAGTAACACCAGGGTTTCCAGGTGTGCCTTCCCATTCCGGTTGGGCCACTTTAGAGGCTTGGAACTCCCAAGGAGCAATATTGTGCATGCTTCTGAGAGAAGCTTAGAGGGAACCCCACATTCCCCATTAGTCCTGCAACTCTACCACCAGCACCCCAACTCAGGTCTCAGAGTTGAGGGGACCCTGTCAGTATGCTCAATGGCCTTGGATAGCTGGAATGTTTGGAATCCTCTGTATCTGGGATGAAAGACTTTAACAGGATAAAAGACTGCAACACTATGTCAGAACTTGAGAGAGCACCACCCCATTTACCTTGCCCCTTTGAAATTCTGCATTCAACCACATCATGCTGAGCACAGCGTCTGACAGTAAATGGTAAATGCTCATTCCCCTTTTTCTCTTCCTTGGCAAGAAGGGGTGATTTGTGAACACCTGGAAATAACATTCTAACATGAATAAGACAGGGCCACCAGCCAGGAGTAATTCACAGTCTAYTTGACTGAACTTATGAAGTATGTGGTATTATTGTCATCATCTTTCAGAGAAATTGAGATTCAGAAAGGCTGATCAGTCAAAATCAAACCGATAATAATAGCAGGGCCAGGACTAGAATGGCCATCTTTGTACCTGCCTTTGATCTTCCCTAAACACCAGGCTGACTGTTCTAAAGCTAAGGTAAAAGGACATAGAGGCCTGATCTCAAGTTCACTACCAGCTGCCCCATAAACTGTCAATATCCATTATCTCCTGCTATGCTACAGTGGCTTCAAATGCTGACTCATCTCACCAGGCATAGTGGGCGGCAYGTGGCTGTAATCCCAGCGATTCAGGAGGCTGGGGTAGGAGGATCACAAAATGGAGTCCAGCCTCAGCAATTTAATGAGACTCTATCCCAAAATAAAACATTAAAAAGAACTGGGAACAGGGGCTGGGGATTTGGCTCAGTGGCAGAGCACTTGCCTCGCACATGTAAGCTACTGGGTTTGATCCTCAGCACCAAATAAAAATAAAGATATTGTGCCCATCTATAACTTAAAAATTAAAAAAAAAAAAAAAGAACTGGGGACATAGCTCAATGGTAAAGCACCCCTGGCTTCAATCTCCTATATCAAAACGACAAAACAAATAAAACTCAAATACTGCCAAGTGCAGTGGTTCATGCCTACAATTCCAGTTTCTTGAGCACCCAAGACAAAATCACAAGTTCAAGGCCAGTCTTCACTACTTAGCAAGACCCTGTCTCAAAATAAGAGAACTGAGTGGTGGCCCATGCCTATAATCCCAGCGACTTGGGAGGCTGACACAGGAGGATCACAAATTCRAGGCCAGCCTCAGCAATTTAGTGAGAACCTGTCTCAAAATTTTTAAATGGGCTGGGGATGTGGCTCAGTGGTAAAGCATCCCTGGGTTAGAGGCCCAGGACCAAAAAACAAAGACCTCAGTGCTTTCTGGGGCCTAACAAATACACTAGTGAAGTCAGTCACATAGAGTCTATGGAGAAGTGAGAATGCATGTCCAGCTACTGCTCAGACCATCACTGCATAGACAAGGGATTGCACCAAGTTCCAAGTTTTTCATGAGAAGCTAATTATTTAGGCTTTCATGTAAGCAATGCCAATATTTCAATGTTCAATCTTTATTCACATTTTTCAAAGACAGCAAAAAAAAAAAATATATATATATATATATATATACATGGTGCTGAGGATCGAACCCGGGCCGCACGCATGCCAGGCGAGCGCGCTACCGCTTGAGCCACATCCCCGGCCCTATATGGCTTTAGTTTGACTATGTTCTGTGTGGAACCCACTCCCTCTCCACCTGCCAGCAGCCACCAGTGGGAGGATGAGTTTGAGTCCTTTAGCAGAGACAATGGTTGCCAAGGGACCGCCTGCTGAGCCACAGGGAGAGAGGCAGGACCAAAGGTGCCTCATGTCCCATTCTTATCCCAAGGGGTTCTATTCGTGCTCCTTGGCCTTGAGGAGGACCCTGACTTCCAGCTAAGTCAGAGTCACACTAAAAGTGGCAACTGGCACTATGTGGCAGGTGTCCTACCCATAACAACCATGTTGGTGAGGAGCCTAGAAGATGTCACAGGTTGGGTTTTTTTGTTTTTTGTTTTTTTTTGTTTTTTTTTTTTTTTTTTTTTTTGAACACTATGGATTGAACCTAGGTGTGCTTAACTACTGGGCCACATCCCTAGACTTTTTTTTTTTTTTTAAGACAGAGTCTCGCTAAGTTGCTTAGGGCCTC